AACGACTGTGGCTTGGCATCTAAGGTCTCCGTTAGCGTAATGCGTGGCCCTGAACCTGCTGGTGTGTATGCTAATAGGGCAGTGTAGCTGCCTATCATTTATGGTAACGACTTATAGTGACAACATCGCAGCACTCGTCTCGCTTGTGAGAGCGCAAGGGCCGTTTATTACGTTATTAGTTGGAGCCTATTTACAGTACACACACTTTATTTTACACATGTATGTTATACTCGGGGTTCAGTTTATATTGACGGTACGCGACGGTGCAGTATCACATGCATTATGTATATATATATATATATATATTTATATAAATAAATATAGGCATAATTATTTATATTCACATATAGATATAAATAGGGTGGCATATGCATATAGCACGTGCAATACGCAGGGGCATGGGTAAGTTGCTAGTAAGTACCTTCTAAATCTAGAAGATGAACAAGTTGCACGTGGTCAAATTAGCTGGCTCATCATTTGCTGTAATCCGCGTGCTGACAGGTAGGCACGTTGCTGATAAATAACCCCGGGTCTCAGTGTTGTGTTTAAGTTGAAAACCAACATCGGTCTCGGTACATACCGTGCGTTTTCTCACGATATGCAAATACAAAAAGTCGCCCGCGTGCTCGCTCTCTCATGTGTTTAAGCGTAAACAAAGAAACGTTTGGTTATGGCTGTGTCCGTGTCAGAGTTGCCGTTATCCTTCCGCGTACGTACGCAGCTCCTACCGTGCTGCGTGGAATGTGCTGTACCCAGATAACACGCACCGAACAGCTATCAGTAGATTGGATATAGGTAGCAATTGTGTGGGGATAGTTTCTATCGTAGCGTATGTCCTGTGCGTACAGATCAGGACCCAGGGCAGGGTGAAATTGGAGAATACTGATCCTGAGTGGTAGGTGCCGTGGTAGGGTGCACGGGGCAGTTTCATTATCTATTTCCTCGTTCCCTGTTCGAAAAAGAATGATGAATGTACGTCACAGGTCAACAACTTGAGGGTTAAAACCCCCGACGGATTACCACCTAGCCGCGTTGCGCTAAAGCGAAAATATAGTATTTTTTAAACCTGTTTCTGAATGGATTCTTTTTCCGCACCGAACAGTGGATAATGGACCTTCAATTTTAGAAACCAAATGCATTAACGGAGTATAGTTTCTTTAAAGATGCCTAGTTTGCGGTAGGATGCAGAAACCGGAGTCATTCTAATCTCAAATGAGCCACTTTTAGCGGCATTATAATTTGTCGTGTTCGGACAAGCAACGAATAGTTTAAGGAAGTTGCTTTTAGCACAGGATGTGGGTTCATCAGTGGTCAGGTTCGCTAGAATGGCAGGCTTTCTTTAACGTAGCACCTGCCAACGTAAAACTGGTCTGGTCGTCGAAAACTAATGTAATCTCAGATAAAAACCAATTGATCGTTAATAGTTTTCACGACACCCTATTTAAGTTATGGGTCTGACGCTAAACCTGGAGCAGTTCCCTTAGTTAAGCTTTTTATAAAAATTAATTCTAGTGTGAGACGAGAACATTAATAAATTAATTATTAATGGATAATTTACTTCAGTCCTATGTGGCCCTTCGTATCATGTTTATAGCTGTTGGCGTGATGTTTCGCTAATTTGCACATATTTATTAATTTGGCTGTTAGACATGTATATACATGTAAAATACATAGACCCTGAAATAGCTGTTTGTTGAGGTAGTCGGTTAAGCCTAGCGCACACACCCGAGCAAAACGGGAAATTTTGTTTTCCAGCGTTTCGCGTTCTGCTCGGCGAGCAATTAAGCGCACACGTACACGCCACCCGACACAGCACACAGCTGAGCAAAACATACAGAAACACTGCGTACAGCGCCGCTGTCACATGACATCCAATGGACATCCAATTTTGTGTGTCATGTGATATTTTTAAGGATATTGATTGGAGACCGTCTGTGGCGTTTCGCTGTGTAGCAGAACGATTGACGCACACACCTGAGCAAAACGTACGCTCAGGCGAAAACACGCTCCGCGAATCAAACATTGCTTGTTCAGCGAAACACGCTCAGCTGAGCAATGTTTTTTGTTTCGGGAATCCGCACACAGCCACGAACATCGAGCGAAACACGTTTTGCTCCACGTTCAGGTGTCTTGCTCGGGTGTGTGCGTAAAGTATAAAGCATAACGCACACACCCGAGCAAAACACCTGAACGTGGAGCAAAACGTGTTTCGCTCGATGTTTCTCCCCTCTCTCTATTATATATATATATATATATAGCTCTTGATATATATATATATATATAATAATATATATATATAATGCGTGTGCGTGTGTGTGGCGATTCTATGCTTATATATTATGTAGTAGACTAATGGTTCACGTCAACATACGCTCGTGTTTGTAGCACCTATGATTCACATTCTCAACAAAAAACACAAAAGCATGCAAAAACGGTGTGGGAACCCATTATGTCATAGACAGCTTCTACATTTGTGTAATGGTAAATCTTAGCATATTCGAGAGCACAACATGTCGTAGTCAGCTTCTATATATATATATTTATATAATGGTTAATCTCAGCATGCTCTAGAACACAATATGTCACAGTCAGCCTCTACATTTATACGATGGTAAATCTCAGCATCCTCGAACATAATGCGCCTGCTAACATGATCGATTCAAGTGCGTCGTTGCATCTACGTAGGCGACAATTTGGCATTATATATAGACATGTCTGTGGGCGAGCTACTTATAACACAATATTTTTGTAACTGGCAGCAGAGAAAGCATTGAATCTCAACGTTATTATATGATATGACATGTTCCTCCTTTGTTCCTTCAAGTACATAATGTCGAGCGGAGCATAATACGTTTGTCTACGCGGCCCGCTATCAATTACATGATAAACATTTATGTATGTTCGATTTACGATGGCAGTTACGTGTTGTTAGGGGGTAGTGACTGCAGTTAATAGTACGGTCACTGAAGATTTCCACTTACAGTAGGTTAGCTATTAATGCCTTCGAGTAGGTTCTCGGTCTGTTCGTAGGTCATATAGTCGGTGTTTGCGGGTCACCGGCCCACTGATCTCATTACATCTGCTGCTTGATATCGGCTATACTGCGTTTTCACCACTCGCTGTTTTTCTTTTTGGGTATCTTTCCTGATACTTGCTCTGTTTTTCCTCTGTGTTTCTTTACGCCACACCAAAACCCTCAGCTCTCGTTCTCGCTCGAACGCTTTCACCACACAGTCGCGGCGCGCGCGCTGTCTCTCTTATTGCGTCTCCCACCGTCGCCAACCGTTGTCTCCTTTTTGCTGCTCATTCCCAATCTCGCTTCTCTCTGCTTCGCCCCTCCTCTCCCCCCTCGGTCTCGCTCCCCCGCTCTGTTGCCTCGCGCTCACTGGCTTTCTGCATCGGTGCACTTCCCCGTTTACTCTTGCGTATAGGTGGGCCTTTCATTTGGTGTTGTGAACGCTGAACGCTTGTGGTGTCGGTGTCAGCGTGTGCGGATACGTTCACCTGAGACATGAACTACATTCCAATGTTTGCGAGCGAGGAAGCGAGACCTAGCTACGCACAAACTAGTCTCGGCTACTCTGTCGAAAATCACTGCAGTACTCGACGACTAATACGTTAGGAATATGTATAGTGTATTTTATCCTGGATTTGGAAGCTCATGTTCGTGATTATATGTGATGTGACTCTGCATGGATAATCTCTACCAGTATAGTATCACTATCGGTAGAGGTATCACGATCAGTCGACGTCCGTATCAAGTCACCGATGTGATCATGTCAGCGCTTCGGGCGATGCCGATGCCGATGATAGAAGTTTAATAGTGTAACTCTTGAGACGTATCTACGTTAATGAGCGACGCTGGCGCATAGGTGCAAACGGCGATATGGCGGTGCCTTTGCTTCTCTGGGCTGTGGTGGCCATCTACTTTGCCGTCGTTGGTGTCATATGGGGCTTCATCGTAAGCAAGCGTGCCTTGCTCGGCGGCTGCGGCAGTGGCAAGAAACCTGCCATGCCGAGTCTGTTCTCAGCTAAACCACGGCAGGATGAGAAGTACGTAGAGTGAAATAACCAGCCTGAGATGATCGCCCAAATATTAATTTGCAAATATTAAGTGCATTCGCCACAAATTGCTAGGATTCAAGTTTCAGTGGCATTTTCTAAGCAGAGAAATATCTAGTCACGTATGTGATTGGATTGCTTGAATCTAATCTACTGTTTTTTTGCACGCTCGGGCAATTTTTATGTATTCGAATATGATCAGATTTATGGGTAACATTTCGTTTTATGTTGTAACATCAGAATGGAAAGTGAGCGTTTTATGTTCGGATTGACATTTGAGCAGTTAGTCATCTAGTATAAACACGTCTGTATACTCGCGCAACAGCTGCCAAAGACACGTCCGCGGCGTATAGCCTGTATTCTAGTCCATTCACACTTCGGCTGACCCATATCTTAATGCTAATATCAATCACCATTCATGCATTTTTTTATTATTAATTTGTACATGGAACATGGCTTAATAAGCAAATGATACGTCATCGATGAGTCATCGATGAACCATCGATTTGGCATATTTGTTGTCGTTTTGAAATAATCCACTAGTATTATAAACAAGCTATTAAAAACCTTCGAAACAGTGTGTCTCAAACAGTGTAATATACGCATTTATCTCTCAAAACGTTTCTATTTTGTCATGCGGTGAGATGGCACTATGTAATAACCTCTAACAATCATTTCTAGCTACACTGCTACATAGTGTTGGATTAGCCGTGAACTTTTTCAATTATGTGTCAAATAACTTCTATAGCCATTCTCTTGCTGGTGCTGTGTTGTAAAGAACTTTATTGCGGTTCGGCTGCATGTGTGAAACGCTGATGGCTGTTGTGAGACGGACGGACAGTGTTAAGAGGATATGTGGCTGCCTGCGTAGAATTTGCAACATTTCTCAGTAGCATGACTAGCTTGTATCTTACCAGGGAACTTTTTTTATTATCCAGGAAACAAGGCATGGATGGTCAGCTGTTCTGCGAAGATCATGAGCCACCAGCCACAGAAAATGAAAAGGCAAAGGTAGGTTTTCCTAGAGCTACCTCAGCGACTAATACAAACCCACGCGTGCACACGCTTGCACGCACACGCACGCATGCACGCACGCACGCACGCACGCACGCACGCACAGATATATAGATATATTAATATCGTTGTTGGTATAATAATAAAATCTACACATTTAGAATATAACATGTGTATACTCGTATAACAACGTACCGCTGACGTTTCGCTTTCTGTCAGGAAGCTTTTTTAAAGCAAACTGATGTTAATCAGTTTGACCACCAGATGGTGGGGTGGTCAATAGCTTAGTCCACACGTGACATAGACCTATAGTCGATTACACAGGCTCCATAGCATACAATTTGTCAAAAAGCTTAGCCGATCTACTGGCCCCTTTGGTAGGCACCACCGAACATCACATCAAGAACTCAACAGAGTTAGCAGAGGAACTAAAAACTATACGTATGAAACCAGATGAGATATTAGTCTCCCATGACGTTGTCTCACTCTTTACCAACACTCCGATCCCAGAATCGATTAACATAATCAAGTCGAGACTGGATCGAGGCAGACAAAACATTGAAGAAGCGAACCAACCTCACCACAGACGATATCATCGAATTGCTCACGTTCGTCCTTACGACTACATACTTCAAATTCAGAGACCAAATTTACAACCAGAAGTTCAGAGCAGCCATGGGTAGCCCGGTCTCGCCTATCGTTGCCAATCTTTACATGGAATGGCTTGAAACGAAAGCCATTGAGACAGCTCTAAAACGGCTTTTGGTACATCCTAAGGACAGAACAGATATGCACAACATTACGGACTGTGTTTACAAGATACCGTGTGCAATGTATGGAAAAAGTTACATTGGAAAAACCGGTCGAAAATTTTAAACCCGCTTAAAAGAACACAAAAAGGACGTAGACACCGTAGCACCCAAATCGTTCACAAGGCCCTAACGTAAACAGTCGGCTACCGAAATCACCAAATCCGCGATCACTGACCATGTAGCGAAGGACAATCACACCATCGATTGGGAGAATTCGAAGATCATCGATCGCGGGCCTATCAAAATCTGGCGATGGATTAAGGAAGCCATCTGGATCCGCAAGACTCCAAACATCAACCGGGACGAGGGCGGGTACATGCAGGCTTAGTCACGTCTGGACTAAGCTATTGACCACCACACCATCTGGTGGTCAAAACTGATTAACATCAGTTTGCTTTGAGAAAGCTTCCTGACAGGAGGCGAAACGTCAGCGGTACGTTTCAAACTTGCACGGTTGTGTAAAAATAAACTTTGTTATTTATAACATGTGTATAATATGTTCTTAATGTAACAGAAGTATGCATAGCCATCAGCAATGCATAGTGTACTGACGGCATATATTTAACAGATGCATATTAATTATTAATGAGTGTGTGCGTACGTGCGTGCGTGGATGCGTGCGTGTGTGCGTATATCAATAAGTACTATAGTGCTTTGGCTTCTTGCCTGGAGAGCAAAAACTGTAGCATCCGCATCTGCAATATGTGGTAATTAACTTTGGAAGACAGGTCTTATCAGTTAGGCAAGAGCATGAGCTGGATGATGCATGGTAACTGTGCTCCCATTCGGTGGGCAATTAACCGCTGTGCAGCTTATAAACACATTATTATTTGTAATAATAATTATAAGATTGTTTGTAGCTGATTCCTTCCTAGTTATTTTGAGACGAAACGTGAACAGTGATGATGACAGACTTGTTAATCATAGCATGCGCTATGAGTATGAAATGTTTCTACTTGTAATGTACAGAAAATCGGAAAGACTGGTCAACTATTTAAAGAATTGTGAACGAAATTTTATAAGTAATTATCTGTAGTAATTTCTAATTACGATTTATATTTCTCAATAGCAAAACACAACATATAGAATACTATGTGCTGACAGTACATAGTCGTATGACTAAATAAACAATATATGGGAGTATAATTTCATAATATTGAAATCTTTATCAAACCGTTAAAGCCATATATTGTTGCAAGCTGCAAGAACACTTGTTGTACCATGTAACCCATAATTGGCAGCCGGTTTACAGTCATGTTATAAGTGTTTATACATTATTAATTTGTTACTGTACAGTTTAGACACATTCCAACAGTAATAATAGTCTTTAGGCAGTATTTTTTAGACAGCATCTAGAAAGTGGTTTCTACATTTTGTTTTAATCTGTGCTATTACCATATTACCATATAAATTAGTATACATGTAGGTACTGAACGGCATTGTGTAATGATAGGTAACGAATAACGGTCGTTCTTTGCTGATCACACCTGTTCACCTTCGGCGAATAAAATATATTAATTTTTAGCTGGCCTTGCGTTGAACTCACTCGTATACCAAAATAGGATCTGAGATCATTGACTAGCGAGATATGCTTCCGTTATGTACTTTGCATGACAGTAGTACTAAGCTTCAAGTTTGGGTATCATTTACATCCGATCCCTACTGCTATTTGAGCTTTCACGATAAGACGGCAGAGGTGTAATGCTGCACTGCCCACTGCGTCAATTACTGTAGTGCTTGTGCGGGCCCAATTTACATTCTGCTCAGTTTCCATTAGTTTAAATTATAGTTTGACTATCACAAAAGCAATTTCGCTTCTAGGAAATAACACTCTGGAGGCAATACACAGACAAGACACGCACAGAGTCTGCAGGCCAGTTTGCACTCAGACTGTTGAATAAAACATAGCGTCGACAATAGCGTGCAATAGCCCTCATTCTGCGGAAGGAGAGAGACGGCGTAATATATTTTCGGGTAACATTATAAAGATCTTGCTACCACCGCTAAACGTAATCTGCTCTGCAGACTGCCAAAGGTAGCCAGCCACTCTACATGTTCGAGGCATTGTAGTACGCGGAGTTCGTAATTTGCGACGTGATTATTTTGCGAGTAAATTGCAATCGGCGTATGGACAACCTAATTCTCATCACAGAGCGGCTCTTATGGCGTCGTGTCATAAAGTAGTGGAACGGGGACAATCAGCGGACAGAATCGTACAGTGCTCAGGGAGCGAATACAATAAGACAGTCTTCGCAGACGTTTTGCGCACAAATTGTGCCTTGTTAGAAACAGCATACGTCGCCTTTGTTCAAAGTAATTTTAGTTTTGGCTAATGACATCGTTTGTGGCGAACGAACGACTCAATGGAGACGAATTTATACTGCAGGGTGTATATCTGTGAAGGAGACTGTATATCGATGTGTGTATGTATGCGTATTAAAGCTTATTTTTGAAAGGAAGACGAACTTTGCAGGGTGGCAGTTGATGGCCATGCAGACACCAGTTACGTGAAAAAAATAGCGTAACTTGTTTTCTACCAACGATTACTAATGATTATTTGTTATGCGTATTGTGAATAAAATTTTAGCTGTGGTGGGGGTCGATAGACTACGTGAATAATCGTTTTACAGTGAGCACTTTATATTTGTTACACTGGTTTTGCGATTGTTAGCTTAACTTCAAAAAATCTTGTACGGATAAAATATTTGTGAGAAATGCGTCTGGCAGCTTGCTGATCGATGATCGCACATTGCCGCATGCCAGTTTCCATTTGGCAAATTGAAAACTTTACGATACTGTGAATTTAAATTCGACAGGAACGTAATACGCATTATTGTGCAACTGTCTCTGCCATGCACATCAGCTTATTGGACTGATGTCCCTTTTGTGTACGTGTACACCTGTCTTTGATCTCTTTCTCTCTCTCTCTCTCTCTCTCTCTCTCTCTCTCTCTCTCTCGCTCTCTCTCTCTCTCTCTCTCTCTCTCTCTCTCTCTCTCTCTCTCTCTCTCTCTCTCTCTCTCTCTCTCTCTCTCTCTCTCTCTCTCTCTCTCTCTCACTCTCTCTCTCTCTCTCTCTCTCTCTCTCTCTCTCTCTCTGTGTCTCTGTCTCTCTCTCGCTCTCTCTCTCTTTTTCTCGCTCTCTCTCTCTTTCTCTCTCTCTTTCTCTCTCGCTCGCTGGCTTCCTCTCTGCACTACTCTAGGCTGACAGCGCAGCAGAATTTTCTAGCATTTACCAATTCACCTCTTCTATACAATTCTCTTTCCTTTTTCAATATCTACAGAAAAAAATTATGCCTGCAAGAGCAATATGTAATCAATGGCGACCTAATTCACTTCCAAGTCTTAACACCGCTTTGTTGTTCTATCAGAGTGGTAATAGCATAATTCACCAACACGTCATTAACACGTCATCAAAACTTAATCAACACGTCACGGGCATGTTCTGAAGTCTATACAGTGTACACGCGTATACACGAAAGTAGTTCTATTGTAAGTTCAGTGTAACGAGTTGCTGTTTGCTATGACTAGCCGACGGCGACTAACGTTGGCCAGGAGTAAGTGAGTTCGGCCGTGCTTAAACACCTTTAATCGTGCTTAACACCTCAATGCTCGGTGACCTGTGATTAAAATGCATGTTTTACATTTCAGCCCGCGTAACGGTACTGCCGTTTTATCTCGATGGGGGGGGGGCAGACACCGTGTAGGAGGGATTGCTGTTATTTGTAAGCGCATGTATTCGACCTACGCTTTTAACTCAGGTGCCGACAAATGATTTCGTAGGTTTTGACGTAAAGTATCGGTGTTGTCTCTGTGTAACGTACAGCATCTAACAGATAGCAGATGTGGGTGGGTAGGTTGTCTACGGTCGCCCACGCCCAGTGCGCGTATATATGACACGATCGGTGTTTTCGGTCGTATCGGATCTAATCACCATAAGAACAGCGGGTATTGCAAAGCCCTACTTTCTGCGCAGTGGCATAAGCACTAGTATAGGCGCGCCTGCTAACCTCGACAAAACTGTATAAATCTTCCGCGTGCATTGAGGCATCGTTTAGCGCAGGCACACGCCTGACAGAGCAGCTATGCCAGTATGATATTTTAAAGGTGAACTTTTGCATTTTGACCTTCTGTACTATGACGAGGTTGGCCTCCTGTAGCTTTCACCTGCCAAAGTCTCCCGTTTC